CTGTTCATAACTCAGTGCCTGAAAGCATAGCGTGGAGGATGAGCCACGTCCTGTTTAGTAGAGATGCAAGCACCATTGGGCAATCGGGAAGTGAGTTTTGATAAAGGCTTTAAGATCTGCAGCCACCTGGTTCAGAGGTTAGTATGAACATTAGCTGTGAATGTGTCACAGTCAGCATGAGTGCACTGTCGATCACAAAATTTGCACCCACGTCCTAATCACATGGGCTTCAAAAACACGACCGTTGGATCGAGCCTCGGTTACCCACGTATCATTTGACGCATCAACGTTGCGGAGATAAATTTTGTATTGCGAAGCAGGGTGGTAGTTATTGTACGCTTTGCGGCAACTTTAATGGTGCAAACAATAGCGGAGAAGAAGACGAGTAGTGAGGAACATGGTCAGTGGTGTAGACTCTCCTCCCCACTACCAACTGAACGGATGCTCGGTGGTGGCAAAGGAGACTGCGCGCTGTCAATGGGCAACGTAACCTGGTGGGTCAATGTGAGCAAGGCTTAAATGGGGACAAGTTCGTCCCTGCACCAAAACAGGGAGCATCAACATGTGGCGCAATGAAGAAAAGCAACTGCAGAATGACATCATTGTGTCTCTCCAGTGTGGCGAATAGCGGTTGTGTGAGTGGCACTGTCGACGTTCTGGGAATCACTGTGTTCAGGAGGGCGTGCAGCCCCCTCAGGGTAGACACAGGCTAAACTGAAAAAAGAAGAACAAGAGGTTCAAAACAGTGAGACGTGGGAGAGGCTGCTGTCCACACTACGCTTCAGCCCATCACTAGCATAGTGGACGTAAATTAGCGTCGGTCATTTACTGTCGTGTGATGGTAACAAGGCGGCACTACAGTGCTGACGACTCTCGTGCCAACAGGCATGCACGGCAAGACATCACAGCTACAGGCATTAGTGCTGTCACCTCTTGCGGACGGCTTGTGATTGTTACACTTAAACTAAGCCTTAAGCTTGCAGCGTCGTTGATTTTCTACGTGGGTGTGGGGCACCGACCAGGTGGAGAAAGGCATGACAAGCGCCGTCTCCATCTCTGCTGCCAGCATCCGGAGCGCAGACGCGAAAGCAACTTCTGTGCAATTGAGGCAGGAGCAGTATGCCTTGTTTAAGAGAAATTTACCAGTGCAGCTAACAAAACAACTCCTCTGCACACGTAAGTCTTGCATGGCGTCAACACGAGGTGTGCAGTCAATGGAGTCGCTGTATTTGGTCTCTTCATCACCGTCACAATGATGCATTCATGTGGAAAATAAAACGGTTGGTACAACCAACGGACTATTGTGGTGAGTGGATGGGGTATGCGAAACGACTTCTGCCAATATGCGAATAACAGGGCATTGATATGGTAAGAGATGAGCCTCAAAGGAAGTAACAGTTTTAAGGCTCTTCAGTCCTCCATCCAATAAGTTGACATCTGCGTTGCACCAAATATCCGTGAGGTCAAACAGATGTTGAAATCATTCACCTTCCATGACTTCGTTCTCGTATAATTGTCCTTACCTCGAGTTCCTCGCTGCTGTCCTGCGCCACCGGAAGACACCGCGTTTGACTTGGCAGACAGTAAACTTGACCATTCTGGTAAATGCATCGACATAAGCGTTACTTAAGACCAGTCGATCCGTCTTAACACACCAGTTGCTAGGGTTCGTGAATGTGAGGCATCGATTGCGCGTCCCCATAGATGCTCTGCACAACGCAGTTTCATCGATGGTCGCCAACCTTGCCTCCATTCACTTCAAGCTAATCCACTTGACTTCACGGAATTATCTGCACTTTAAGAAGGCGAAGAAGAGGGAGAAGAATTGTGACCTGGTTTAGCCTTGAGGGGATCACTAGTCATTAGCCCAACTTCACCCAAGGGAAGCACTTACCACCCGTGTGCAGGGATAGAGATAGGGGGAGGAGGAGGAGGAGGAATCGCAAATATTTGGAAGAGGAAGAGACGCCGCCTGATGTGTAACTCACCCGTGGCATTCTCCACTGCAAAACAAAGCAGAAAGCAGTAACTACAAGCACTGAATGTTACAGAACTTCAAGGCATTCCATGGAAGGCACCATCTCGTGTGTGGTTTCCTTTGGTGGTCGTACTGTTTAAGCCGGTAACAACAAAAATCGCATTTACTTGGCAATTTCAAACACTGTCTTTTTAACTACCCCATTCAGGCATGCTTACTTGGAGTGTTTTGCCAACTCCGACCGCTGCTGGGAGGAA